GAACCCACCACCTTAGGTGTATGTGGCTGGCGCCTTAGCCGCTTGAGCCACAGGCGCCGAGCCAAAACCTAATCTTCAATGTGATAGTATCATATTAAAGCGTGAGGTCCTTAAGAGACAACTAAGTCATGAGGACAGAGCCCTCAAAGATGAGTTTAGGACCCTTATAAAAGGGCACCAGGTGGAAGGGGGTGCTCTTTCTCTCCTGCCCTTCTGCCATGTGAGGAAGTATAAAAAAGGCCCTCAATAGATGCTAACGCCTTGATGTCAGACATCCCCACCTCTTAAACTGTGAAAAAATAAATTTCTGATCCTTATAAATTACCCAGTCTCAGGTATTTTGTTATAGCAGCATAAATGAACAAAGACAAAAAGTATTACATCTATCTCCTTAATTCAAAACTCTCTATTACTGGTAAAATTCTTTTACCTGCAAAGCAGCTGTAGATTCTTCACTGGGTAAGGAATCTATCAAAACATCAATGTCTTTTGCTGTTCGTGCAATCAGTGCTGCAAAAAGCTGGGCATACTCTAGAGAAAGAAAGGTATTATTAAATTAATGTATTAGAGATCCTCAAGTTTGCAGAAATAGAAATTAAATTTTAAGTCAATGACATCAGAAAACTTGAAATAACTTTTTCTATACTGAGATTCTACTGATTTTAATCTAATTCTAATCCAATGATTCTAATGATTAAAATGTAATTTTAACATATCATTCCTATTACACATTAGCTCAAATTGGAAATTAAGCATACTGTATTTTATTTCATTTATTAGAAGAACATGGTGGCCACTTGAATAAATAAATGAAATGCGTTCTTTATTCAGGCCCCAATAAAGTAAAATTGTAAAAGTAAAATTCAGCTAAATTCATACAAATTCTCCTCTAAAGGAGCAATAAAAATAATCTGTTATTAGATATGAATAGAACTACAGTACATGAATTGACTATAATGAATTCAATTCTTTTATGACAAAACTTGTAGTAAACACAACATTTTTAGAAAAAAGTCACAAATAAGTTAAATTTCTCAATAAATCTAATTTTAGAGGATTACAAGAAATGTGAGATGCAAACTAAGAGAAGTCAAGAAAACTTACCTTCTGTAGGGTTTGCTGGCTGGTCTTTGTTAATTGCTGTCTGAATATTATTAAAAGAGGCAGGAGGACCACACTGCTGCAACACTCCAATGGCATTACAAAACTGATCTGCGAGCTTGGGGCGAAAAACCAAACATGTCAAGATTAGAAAGGATTTGTCAATTTTAAAGACTTTATTGGTAACGACAACAAGTTTCTATAATATTGACCTCTGGGAAGGGGACTAAAACAGGAATGATTATTGATAAAATAGCCAGTTATTATTAACAATGATTAAATGTTTTAATCATGCAAGGAAACTAAGTTTGATGTCAATTCTGGTGAAGTTAAATTTAATATTAATCAAGTTAAAACAATGAAGACATACAAACTAAGCTTTCTTTTCTTCAAATGATAAGTGACCCCAGGTTTCATAAAAAATGTATTATTCAGGGCTGCGCCTGTGGCTCAGTGGGTAGGGCGCCGGCCCCATATACTGAGGGTGGCGGGTTTAAACCCGGCCCCGGCCAAATTGCAACAAAAAAATTGCCAGGCATTGTGGTGGGCACCTGTAGTCCCAGTTACTTGGGAGGTTGAGGCAAGAGAAACACCTAAGCCCAGGAGTTGGAGGTTGCTGTGAGCTGTATGATGTCAAGCACTCTACCCAGGGCCATAAAGTGAGACTCTGTCTCCACAAAAAAAAAAAAAGAAGAATGTATTATTCATACACAAAGTATGGGATTACTTTTCTGAGATTGCAGGAGTTATGTACAGGTGTCAACAGTGGGGGAGGAAGACTTGGAAAAGGCACTATAATCAGAAATGTATTTCTCTATGTTAACCAGTTTGATAAAAATATTTCAAATGGTATATAAAACCAGCACATGGTACCCAATGATTGCATAAATGTACACAGCTATGATTTAATTAAAAACCTGTTTTTCTCCAAGACTCAATCTATAAACTCCTGGTACTCTGAAAGTATTCCTTAAACACTTTTGAAGATTTTGAGAATACCAATTCCTTGCCGTCTCCGAACTAAATACCTCTATCCTCCCTACCAACTTCTCTTGCTAGTCTTAACCTCTCAAACCTCAATTCCTATTTCTAGCCAGTGACTAAGCACTTCCAATGAGTTTCTTAGCCATTTCAATAACAGACTTCAAAGGTAACTATTTCCTGTTTAACATGTAATTTGTAATATCTAATTTAATATCTAACTGATAGTCTCCTAATCAGTCTAACTTCAGATTCTTAACTTTCATCTTCATATCCTGCTAGTACTACAAATCTTTCCATTTTCCTTCTATCATTACTGCTGCCTTAGTTCAACCAACTATCTCACAATAGAATTATTACAATAGCTTCTTTATTGTTTTCTAGTTCACCTTTTTTTTTTTTTGAGATAGAGTCTCATTATGTCACACACAACCTCAAACTCTTGGGCTTAAACCATTTTCTTGCCTTAGTCTCCCAAGTAGCTGGGACTACAGGTGCCTGCCACAATGCCCAGCTATTATCTTTTTGTTATTGTTGCAGCTGTCATTGTTGTTTAGCAGGTTCAGACTGGGTATGAACCTGCCAGCCCGGGTATATGTGGCCAGCACCCTAACTGCTGAACTACGGGCACCGTACCCCACCATACTATTTTTACCTTGCTCAAAATACTTGAGCTCACTTCAGTCTTCAAGATAAATCTCCAGCTCAGGAGGCTGCAATGTTTTCCATAATCTAAGTCTATTCTACTATTCATTTTCCACTACTCTCTAATATTTACCTGACTAGTCATAAATTCACTTATGACTAACGGCTTTGCTCATCTTTTGCTAATTGTAATTGTGTAATTCTACACAAAACTAGATTCTAATCTTGGAATCTATTAACCAGATTAGCTTTTTTCATTTTTAAGTTGGGAACATTCTCATAACAAATACTGTTATGAAGAATAAAGATATACAAGAAGAAAAGAAAAAAGTTTTCAACACAGTAGACACCTATTTTATCTTTCAAAAGCTTTCAAGACCCATTCATTCGACAAATATTTACTAAAAATCAACTCCATGACACAATGTATATAAACATTATAGTGATACAGTGAATATGACATAGCTTATGCACTCAGTTTTCAGAGGATTAATTAATAGCAAATAATATTTGTTAATATTATTAACATTGTTAATATTAACAAATGTTAATAGTTATAGAAAAATTAATTATGATTAGGACAAATGCTAAGAAGATTATTACCTCTTTTGGTTCTATCACTTTATATTCCAATTTACTTTAGCACTTATGGCTGAAAACACTTGATTTATTATAACTCCCTAATGACATACTGTTTTTGCACTATTTAAATGTCTTTTGAGTATACATGGTTTTAATCTCCTTAAGGAGTATCTCTTTGTAAACATTGATCGTGCTTGTATATGCAGTAGGCACTCATACTAGTTAACTTAAAGGCCTCTCTCCAAAATCCAATTATCATCACAGCATCCCTGCCCTGCAGTTAAAGCTATATTCTCTTTGTTCTTAACTCCTTCTAGTTATAAGATATGAATGAATACCCAAAATTTTCCCTAAAATGTTTCTATCCAGCAGCATCATTACAATTTGATTTTGTAAAACCTTAAATGAGTATATCCCTGAGGGAGGTTGGCTGGCAGCCCAGTGAAGTCACTGTAAGCTAGAATTTATCTTGGTAAATACATCAACATTCAGGCACCAGTCCTCGCAGCCTTAAAAGCTCCTAGGTTATTCACATAGCAAATCAGTTTTTCACAAGTAGACCCACATTCTTCAAGTATATAAAGACTAATATATTAACAAAAGTACCAAGTTATGAGCTTCCAGTGGGGAAAAAAACTGGCAAGCGAACTAAGCACTTAGGTTTTCCAAGTCACCATATTCTCTCCAAGAGCACCTTACCTGGCACATCAAATTACAATCAGAGTGACAATGAGAAATGTTAACCACCAATGGGAAAAAAACTATAAACAGAAAACTATCTAACTCTCAATAGTAGTAAATACAGTCATGTGTTCCTTAACAACATCGTGGTCACAGGAAGCATAACTATGGTGGTCTAATAGGATTACAGAGGAGTTGGAAAATTCCTATCACTTAGTGACTTTACAGCTGTCTTTAACATCCTAGCACAATGTGTTACTCATATGTTTGTGGTGATGCTCGTGTAAACAAGTACACAGTACATACAATTACATATGCTACATAATACTCGATAATAAACAACTAAATTAATAGTTTATGTATTTACTACATTATACTTTTTATTATTTTAGTGTGTATTCCTTTTATTTATTAAAAAAAAAAAGGCAAGCAGGTGCTTCAGGAGTGATCACAGGAAACAACAGGTCTATGTGAACAAGATGTGGAGGTGGAAGTAAGGGCTACCCTGACCCTGTGTAAGATTATTGTGTGTGTTTATGTTTTAAGTTTTTAACAAAAAAGTTTAAAATGTTAAAAAAAATTCAAAAATAGAAAACTTTTGTAGAATAAGGCTATCAAGAGAATGTTTTTCATACAGCTGTACAATGTGTTTACGCTAGGATTGTTACAAAAGAGTTAAGTCTTTAAAAAATTAATTATAAAGTAAAAACAGTTTCAGTCGACTAAGGTTAATTTATTACTGAAGATAGAAAAACATATGGTAAATTTAGTGTAATTTAAATGCACGGTGTTTATCTACTCTACAGTACTACACACTGAATGTCACAGGTCTTCGCATTCACTCACCACCATTCACTGACTCACCCCGAGCAACTCCCAGTTCAGCCAGCTCCACTCATGTAAGCAGGTATATCTCTCTTTAATCTTTTAAGTCATAATTTTACTGTATCTTTTCTATGTTTAGATTCACATACACCACCGTGTTACAGCAGCCTGCGCTATTCAACACAGTCACGTGTACAGGTTTGTAGCCTGAGAGCAACAGGCACTACCGAGAGTCTAGGTGTGCAGGAGGCTGGGCTATCTCGAGGGACAGGCTAGGATGTCCCACACAGTCGAAATCGCAAACCCGGCATTTCGCAGAGCACATCCCCTTCCTTGTATGACTGTGTACATACGCATTTTCTGGCTTGCATATACTTTCCACTCAGACACAGAATGTAGGGAAAGAATAACCGGAAGGAATAAAGTTAAGGCAGCTACTTGTAAGACTTGACCATTAATAGAGCAGACTTTTTGAGAGATAAGGACTTTAAGAAATGGAAAGATATGCAAGGATGAGAAGGTCCGCTATCGTAAAGATGTCACTGAGTGCCGGGGAGTGGCCAAGAGAGGGAAGGAGACCCGGTCCCCAGGAGCGAAGTAAATCAGACCAAATTAAACTGCTCACCTCACCATCGCTCCCGGGCCAACCCGCAAGTGCTGGCGGAGGAATGCACTCCCGGTTACCTTTTAATCACAAAGATCCAATCGTCCAGACCACAACATCTCGGGGGATTACATTCGGCGAGAGAAAACAAAAACAAAAACCCCACACCTCGCTTCTGCTTCTCCCATCCCCACTCAAAGAGAAGAAATTCCGTAAGCACCACCGACAAAAAAATAAACTGCTCCCACAGAAAACTACAGGACCGCGCAGCCTACGAGACCGTCCTCGTCTCCTCCAATAAAGGAGGCTGCTCCCTCCCGGAGCTCCCGCGCTCCGCGGCGGCCGGCCTTGAACCTCCGAGTGCGAGGAGCCGCTCCCCTCCTCTGACCGCTGTCTCTCGGGCTCCCTTCCTCCCTTGCTTTACTTCAAGAAAGAGAAAGACAGAGACTAATAGAATGTAATTCCTCACCGAGTTCACCGCGTCCTGCAGCTGCGTGAGGCGATCCGCCATGTTCGCCCGGAACGCACAGGGTCGCTGAAACAACTGCCGGAGCGCGATTGGGCAGCGCTTTAGTAGGGCGTCACGGCCAATCACAGCACGCCGTCCTTGGACGGGGCGGGGTCAGGGAGAAGACCACGCCCGGCGCGGCGCGGCGCGGCGGGGCCGGGGTTGCCCTGGGGCTGCCCTGCGGCTTTATTTTGCTGGCCGGACCCTGGGAAAAGACTGGTTGTTTGAGTAACTGGAAGACAGTCTGGCGTCTGCTCGCTTTGGGGGGCTAAACTATTCTCTTTGATGTTGTTAGGTGTTAAACACTTTACAGAGATGGTTGGATTCTGGGGGAGGGCGGGGTTAAAAGTGATTTCTCCTATCCAATCACGTATTCCTTTTTTAACATCACCTTGAATACTTTTCGTTGCTTTTGCTTTCCAGGGGAACAAGAAAACATATACCAGTAAGCAACTCACAAATACTTTAGAGTCACAATATCGACTTTAAATTCAAATCCAATTGAAATTCACCAGGCAGTCAGGAAGCACTGGGTTAGGGTGCCTCCTCTGCTGTCTTTGGGCTCTGGGTGGGGGTGAGAGTCGCTAACCCAAGGGGAGACTGCATGCGTGCTTTCATTCTGAGGTTGGATGTCCTGGGGACGTTGGCTCACATGAAGTGGACAGCTTCCGAAACTACTAACCTGGGCTGTGTTGACTGTGTACAGAGGAGGACGGAACTGGGCAAAGGTGGAGGGAGAAAAGCAATTGAAGTTGAGTGTGAGCCAAAGATGAGGAGAGAACATTTGGAGTTAAGGGTGTGAGCCCAGGGTGAGAAGGAGGGAGAAGAGCATTTGGGGTGAAGATATAAGGGTGTAAGTCTAGGGAGGGTAGGTTCAATTTTAAGAAAGATCAACTGCACAATTTAGATATAGAATTGGCACCTATTTGAACGTTTAAATGTGAACGGTTATGGTAAAAATTTGGTATTTAAGAGAAGTCAGCCTGTGGATAGTCTGGTAAGAAACGAGCCTGGTGGCCTAGCGCCATGGCTCACGCCTGTAATCTTAACACTCTGGGAGGCTGAGGCAGCTGGATTGCTTGAGACCAGCCTCAGCAAAAGCAATACCTCGTCTTTACTAAAAATATAAAATCTGAGGCAAGAGGATAGCTTAAGCCCAAGAGTTTGAGGTTGCTCTGAGCTATAATGCCCCTGTACTCTACCCAGAGCCACGGCTTGGGTGCCAGCCATATACACCAGAGCTGGTGGGTTGGAGCCCAGCCCGGGCCTGCCAAACAACAATGACACTTAAAACGACTGCAACAAAAAAATAGCAGGGTGTGTGTCAAGCGCAGGTAGTCTTCACTACTTAAGAGGCTGAGGCAAGAGAATCGCTTGAGTCCAAGAGTTTGAGATTGCTGTGAGCTGTGACTACACCGCACTCTACTGAGGGCAACATAGTGAAACTCTGCCTAAAAAAGAAAAAAAGAACAAGCTGAGTTCTAATGCAAGAAAGTAAACTGGGATAAGCACCTTGAGAAGGAAGGTACAAGATTTTGTTCCCCAGGCAGCACTTAGCTATGATCAAGCCACTGCACTCTAGCCCAGGCAACAGTGAGACTCGTCTCAAAAAAAGGGGGGGGGGGCAGCACCTGTGGCTCAAGGGAGTAGGGCACCGGCCCCATATGCCAGAGGTGGCGGGTTCAAAACCAGCCCCGGCCAAAAACTGCCAAAAAAGAAAAAAAAGGTGTATTTTAAGTTCACAAACCAATCATTTGTTAATTCCAGGCTCCTTCCTTCCTTCCTTTCTTTTTCTTTCAAACTCAGTTTAAGCCATACTCTTGCCTCAGGCTCCCAAATAGCTGGGACTACAGGCATCTGCCACAACTCCCAGCTATTTCTTTTCTTTTCTTTTTGTTGTTGTTATAATTGTCATTGTTGTTTGGCAGGCCTGGGCTGGGTTCAAACCTGCCAGCTCTGGTATATATGGCAGGCGCCGTAGCTGTGGCCCTGGGTAGAGTACACTGACATTTCATGCCAGATTATTCATTTTTTGTGGGGTGCTCACGTGTACATAATAAGATACTTAAAAGTATCACTGTCCTCTGCCCACAAGATGCCAGTAGCAACTCTTCTAATCCAGATAGCCTCGAATGTCCCCTGGGGTGCAAAACTGCCAGTTGAGAACCCCTAGTCTTTTTCTTTCCTCATTCTGTACCTTTCTCAAAGCATTTTCTTTCCTTCTATTTAATACATACTTTACCTTTTTAAGTTTTATACTTCTCATGTAATTTTTATAAATTACTAGAGTCCACATGGACCTCTCCTCTCTCCTTTTCATGATTTTGACACTCTTTCATATGCTTCTCTTGCATCCCAAACTACATTATATGGTTATTAGAGCAGAAACCCAGTAGCTCTCATCTTTTTTTTTTTTTTTT